AACAATTCACCCCTCCCCTGCTCAGCTGTTGATTGCACCGAGCACTACCTGGAATTCACGGAAGATGATGAGCTTCTAAAAGCAAGGAAATGATAATGAGTGTTCATCAGAACTACACCTCTCTGACACTGGAAAGACAAACAAGAAGAAAGCTTTGTTCCTAGGACTGAATTTCTTTCTTATTTCCAAGAACCTGGACGTGGAGGAAGGAAGAAATTTGTTTGCTGGATGTCGGCTCTGTCTTATCAAACTCGCAAATTATGAAATGTGAATGTTGAAGTGTGATTGTGACCACAGAGAGAAGTTTAGGTGATTTTGGGAGGTGTGAAGATGAATTAGCCATGCCACTATTTAGAGCATTCAGATAAAGAAAGAGTAAAATGTATTTGAATAATTTTTTCCACTCAACGACAGGATAACAGTGTCTGCCTGGGAAAGGGAGAGCATAGAAATGATCTTAAAAATTCCCACCTTACAATCCAAGTGGAAAAATGGGTGGGAAGCCATCACTGAGGAAAGGTGGTGGAGTTTTAAAAGAGCTAAAATATGGTTTATAAATTTGATTGGATCAGAGAAAAAAGTGACACCCCTTCTAAATCAATGCTCTTAACACCACTGACCCTGGCAAGGAGTTATGGGCTATCTTCAGATATCACCTGGTATGGAGGGATCTCAAACTCTTCTTTTCCTCCCCTGGTATCTTTTAGGCATTTAATCATGAAGATAAAAAGTTTCATAAAGCCAAACTCCCTTTTCAAGCCTATTCCCAAACTGCAGTCCACAATTTCAGCTCTTACACAAAATAAAAGCACAGATCCAAAATAAAATCACAGAATCCTAAAAGGACTTGGGGTTGAAGGGACCTTAAAGAGACATCATTCCACCCCTCTGCCATGGATAGGGACACCTTTCACTATCCCAGATTTCTCCAAGCTCCATCCAACCTGGCCTTGGACACTTCCAGGGATCCAGGTGCAGCCACAGCTTCTCTCGTCTCTTTTGACACCAAAAATTCCCCTCCAACAACGGTTGTTCAGTGACCGTATTTTACTCATTAAAACAACAAAAAGAACTTAGAACAGGCCTCCTAAAGATGAAATTGGAGATCCATTATAGCTCAATCTCCAAACAGAAGCAGCTACAAATAGAAAATAAATAAATAAATAAATTTCCACATCCAAAACTTGCTTTACAATGTGTTTGCCTACTGAGATTTAGAGGCACCATTTGAGCTTCTTTACAAGAATAGGTATAATGTAGGCATTACTTTGACAATTTATTGCACAATATACCAAAACAGTGAGTTAAAGCTCATTAACTTAACTACAGATGCATAAAAGGTGGGTCCCAACAGATCTGATTTGACAAAATCTGCAGTTTATCAGCACAGACCCTTGATTTATCAGGCAATTGTCTGTCTAACAAGGCCAAGCTAGCAGGGTTATTGTTGAAAAGTTTGGTCTGGATAATCTATGTCACACACACACCACAAGCAGGAAGGTGACTCCTCACATCCCCATAAAACACCTCAAAATGAGGACATGAGACACACCCAGGACAGCTGAACTGAGATTTGGGCAGGCCAAGAGCAGCTCCAGGCACTCCTGGAGAGTTTGTCTGTTTGCTGTTCATCTCTTCACCCCCCACCATGTTTGCTCTGTAGACTTTGCAAATTCTGTTGTTCCCAAATTGTTTAATTAATTAATGTTTGCAAAGGAGGCGATGTGGCAAATGCTGTTATAACTCTTTGTAAACTGCCTGATTAAGATGCAAAGCACAGCCAGAACAGCTGTCAGAACAAACTCCTGCGCTGTCAATGCCCTGACAAAGCAGAAGACAACTCGGGATACAAATTCATCAGCAATTAGTTCTTCCTTGAGTCACAAAAATAATTCTAAAAAGTGTCTCAATGAAATGATCCCCTGAATCTGTTTTTTGTTGTCAGATCATTCAGTAAAGGCTCTGTACTGTTTCCCTGGGTAGTTTCATCTCTTCTGTGCAAGCAGTTAGCCAAAGTCTGTGAGATTATCACAGATAATTAATTTATCAGCTACTCGCTGCTTTTAACATTTTCCTGTTGGAAGAGTCATTCTGGGTCAGGCTTTTTCACTAAGATACAAAGCATCAAGTGACCAAAACCCAAAGTTGACATAAAATCAATGTCTCCCACTGAACTCAGACTCATGCTGACACCAGCAGAACTGGTCCATTTTGTTTTCCAGCACCAATTAAGAAGCTGAAAAACTCACATCATTTGCTGGATCATAAAACTTTCCACTTCTTCACTTTTTCCCCCCTCTGTTACATACAAATGTTTTGATTCACAGCACTAGCACCATTCTAAACTACTTTGTTTTCTGCAGCTGCCCCATGCTGAAATCCCAGGGTAAGCTGCTTGGAAGTTCTGACTGACACACTTTTGGATCTTTTTTAAATTGCTGTGAATAGAATCACAGGAGAACACAGCTTGAAGAACCTGAGCTGATACATGACCAGTGAAATAACAACCATTATTCCAACCTTAAAAAGACTTTTTCAGAAGAAAAGTTAATCTTTACAGGATGCAACCATTCCTTATGACCTTGGATTAAATTAACCCTGTTTCCACGGGAAGTTTATTCTTTAGACTCAGCCTTTGCTGGCTGCCTTTACATTTATTTACTGTAGCACCTGGAGTCTTCACCTGACTTCCCATTAAATGCTGCAGCACCTCATTGTAACAAATAAAAGTACTTGAAGGGATGCAGAATAATATCAGAAAAATGTGTTTAAGGATAATTGGTGAATGTCTATTTTAAAGGCAAATGGCTTTTATGAAGGATATGTATAGACACATATCTAAATACTTTAATACATTAGTGAAGGAGTGCCCCTTTCTCTTCAAAGTTATTTTCTGATACTGTAATTGTAGTGCTTTTCTTACTCCCTGCCTTGAATACATGAACAGATTTATTTTTCTTTTTGTTTGATTCCATTGAGCCAAAGTGGATTTAACCCTTCTGACAATTCAGGACCAATCATCTCCAATACAGAGACAGAGTCGGGGTATTTTTTTAATACAGGTAGATCCAAAACCCATGGACCTGAAAAAATTTGGGTCCTGGGTTTTTTACAGTTGCTTCCCACATTACCATATCTGGGAGAAAAATAAGCCACTGAATTATATTTTATAAGGAGGATGTCAAGGCTCTTTTCTCTCTGCAATACGTTAATGTAGAGATGACACAAGAAGCAACACAAATTTATCTTTAATTTTTTGGAAGATCACGGTGAAGACAGAATCTTTTTGTAGCTCTTGAGTAATATAAAACAAAAATGGAGAATGGAAGATTTCGTCAAACAACAGGTAAAAACTTCAGAGTGAAGATGAAGGGAAAAGCTGTGTGTTTATCATCAGAAGATTTTAATAACAAACTCATCTGTGGTGCAAATAGAGGTAACCATGTCCTGGAGGAGGGGAGAGATGGTCCCTTAAGGGTTTTTAACTTCAGCTCTGGGGGGCAATACTTGAAATAAAATATAAGAAATCTTCCAAATGTAAGTATTCAATCAGGCTTTATTGGATATATCAAATGGTTTTCTGCTGCCTGCCACTAGTTAAACACCAGCAGCTCCTATTCCTCATCCCCCTTCCCTGATAACACACACAAGGCATTTTTCATTTTAAGAATGAGATTCCAAAAGACAAACCTATACACCCTGCCCTGGCTCTAACAGCAGCTCAGATGGAGATGTCAAAGTCTGGGATATCAGCAATAGCTGACGCAAATCCTATCTCCTGCTCAGAAATACAGGAGAGGATGTGCAGGACAAAACAGGAATAAAACGTCAGGAGCAGGTGGAGAAGACTGAAAATAGTTTGAGGCTGGAAGGCAGATTAGAACAGAGAAAGGAGCTGTTATTCTACCTCTCATAAAAAATACAAAAGGACTTCCTGAAGTATATTACAGAATCACACAGGGTTCAGAAATTGGTTATGAAAATGACGGGGGTGCTGGAATGAAAATTTCATAAAAAGAGATTGAAAGATTGTAGGATTGTTTACAAAAGGGATGAATACAAGGAGTTATGATGAAAATACATTCAGTTTTGAGAAGCTAAAGGAAAAAGCTGCTTACTCTTCATTTTGCTGTATCTAAAATCTCAAAAAGAAATGTCCATAAAGTTCTCCAGTTTATCAATGCTATTAATGGAAGTGCTGCTTCTTGAAACAGGTACACCAGTTATGGTTTACCTATTACTGCTGAAATGTGGTACTGAGGATACATGAAAATAAATATTAAATATTGGTGAGCTATAATGATAATTACAGCAATAATTGCTCTTTTACCTCAGAAAATTATTGTTATTTCAAAGAAATAAGCCTAAATTTGCATCTCTGTATAATAATTAAAGTGCAGCTCACAATTATCCCATTAAAGTGGATTTCAGGGGTATCCTTGCACAAAATTCATTATGGTTCCCTGTGAGCAGATGAGCATAATGGGAGAATTAAAATGTAATTTAATTTTTTGCTTTTTCTTTGTGCTAGTACTACTGTGTGAAACTATCCTGGCCAAGTTCAGCATCAGTTTGCTGTGACACACTCCCCTGTCTGCCTCTTGATGCAGTATCTTCTTTTGCAACACATTTCATTACTCCAGGATTCTCATAGGGGAAGAAAATTATAATAATTTCATCTATTTATATTCTTCCTCTGATCATACTCATAGAATAAATCACCAGCAAAAACTTTTTTCGGGTATTCAAAATGAAAATGAATTTAAAAACTCAGGTGCATGGGGCTCCTTTTTATTTCAGAAAAATCACCTTTCATGGGGTGAAAGTCCTTTCCAAGCTCCTTTTCTCTCATTAGCTACCCAAGGGTCCCAGTGCTTTGTCTTCTCTACTTGTGCCATATTTCTATTGTCCAGTTAAGTAATTTAAATTAAAATCAGATTAACTGATCAGATTAACAGATTAACAGATGTACACACTTTTAATTTTTTAAGTGTGTACATTCATGATAGCAAATGTAATGGCAGAATCCAGATTTGCTTCCTGATGCCCTGATGCTCAAACTTTGGGTATTCCAATCACCATTTCTGGCCTCAGATAAATTTATTTTGCTGTGCAAATTTCACTCAGCCAACCATTCTGCCACCCAAACCAGACCCTGGGTGCCAGGTCAGGCCTTGGCACCTCTGTTTGAGCAAGCCACGCACCAGGAAGGAGAATAAGTGATGTAATTACACTCTGGTGATGTGGAATCCAGCCCTGCAGCTCTCTCTGGTGATTCACATTACTCTGATGAAATTACACCCATCTACAAGGTTATGGGATAATTAATAACATTAATCAATAGATGGAGGAGTTTAATGCTTGGAAAGGCTTGAAGGTGAATGGCCAGAAACAGCAATTCAGGTAATTAATGACAAACAAGATGGTCATTATAGAGAAACTATTTAAAAATGTCAGCACTTGAGTATCCCAAATAGTTTTGGTAAAAGATTCAGTTACAAAGTGATCAGAGTTGCCTTAAAGCCCAAACTGAACTTATAAAAGCTTGAACCCAAATTGGAAATAGTGTTTCCCTTAAGAACCAAATTGTTGGGATTGGCAGGGGTTTCCACTTCCATTTAATATTTTTAACCTCTGCAACTGAAGGGTTTGGGTAAATCTCCAGGAAAGAACAAGAACCACTTCAGAGCAAGAAGCAACTCAGAAGTCCAGTTGTTATTTCTCTTCGAGAAGTTCCATCACAGCAAATCTTGAGTTCTTCAAATGCATACGAGGTGAAGCATCAGGGAAGATTGTTCTTTGTGAGCTCCTAGAACATAAATACAGAATTGGAAGAGCTGGACAGTGAGCAAACAGCACCAAATGCCACAGAAGAAAAGATGTTGCTCCTGGAGTTTTATGGCTGTGCTGAAATTCTCCTGAGGGACAATTTTCATTAGCAAACCTCAGGCCATCATTGTCACCATGCACAATTTTACTGCGTGGCCCATGGTTTGATATTTTGCTTTGAACCTCAGCCCTTGCAGTAATATTACATGAAAAAGGGGTTCTGACAGGGAAGAGAAATGTGAAATTACAAAGATATTTAGGATGAAACTTTTTTTTAATAATTTTTTTTTTGACTTTTTTTTAATAATAAACTGTGGACATCTGAACACCAGAGCTGGATATTCTATGTTAAGCCAAATGGAACTCAGTGGGTCAGTAAAAGTAACCTGGATAAAAAAATTACAGAGACCTTACTGATTCCTTTATATAAAGGTTTGGTGGTTTTTTTTTTTTAATACAGCCTGAGGTTAGCCAGATCTTCATTACATCTTTTACTACAAATTTGTAGCTAAACTCCAGCTGAAAGGTGGGACCTGACTCCATCCTGCTCCGTGGATTTCCTTTGGTCAGACCTCCACCCCTGTATTTTATTTTCTGAATTTTTTTACATTCACAGCATGCTCACTACAGCAGAGCATCAAACTTTAGAGATTATTTATGTTTTGGAAACAAGGACTGAAAATTCCACAAAGCCTTGCACATCAGCACCTTTAGAATAGAAGTCATTTAATAGTTAAAAATAAATAAAAAGGAAACAGTTGGAGTGTGAGAGAAAAAGAAAGCAGCTTTGCAATGTACAGTATGCCTTATTATACTAATTATATCATGCAAGTATAAACCAGGGGAATACAACAGTAAATAGCAAAACATTTTTCCAACAATGTAGCATTTGCTTGTAGTTTCAAGGGACTGATTTCTAGGAATGAGCAAACCTGCTGGGATTTGGTTTTTCTTTTTAGTGATGTCGAATTCTTCAATTATCTCCAGCCCCAGCTTGATGAAAAAACACCCAGCAAATGTGGAACCATGGTTTGAACTGCATTGAATATTTATGTCCTGGAATTGAATACCTTGAACATTTTTAAATTCTTTTTTATTTTTTAAATTTTTAAAGTCTTAAAGAATTTTTAAAGTCTGTGAAAACTTGGAAAGGATTTTTTTTTCCCCCTCTCCTTGTTCTTCTGTACCTGGGATGTGAAAATTTTGCAGAGGAAGCTGCAGCCCAGGGGCTCTGTATTAAAACTAAATTACCAAATCAGAAGCATCTGGTTTTCCTCAGTTTTCTGGTCAGATTAAATAATTCTGGTTTGAAATTATTTCAATAATTTCTTGAAATTATCTTGAATAATTTACTTGAAATTATTTCAAGTATTTCAAGTATTTGAAATTATTTCAGGGACTTGTAGCCAACAAGTTACATCATGGGCATGTAATCTAATTTCTCACAACACCTGAACTCCAGGTCTGAAAAAAGTGCACAGTAAGATGGAATAAACAATTCAACAATTCTCAAAAATTATTTTTCTTAAGTGACCACATGAGAAAAACTATTAATAATCAAACAACTTTCTCTACCATTATTTGATAAGGAATTTCAGGCCCAAACCATGAACAGAAAATATCTTATTATGTTGATATTTAATAATACTTTAAACATTATTTGTAACAGGCTGGAAAATAATACCATGCAAATGAAGTGTGTTTAAGTGTATGCAATAGAAAAGTGAAAGAAATTTCTCTTTTGAAGAAAATTGTGCCTCAATGAGTTGGAAATCCTCGTGGCAGCCTAGAATTTAAAATATTTCAACAACTTTGCTGCTTTTATTTCTCCTTGCTGTGCTTGAGCAAGAATTGTTCTCTAAACGCCTTGGAAAGGACTCAAAATTATGAGTTGACTTTTACACTGCACCAATTATTGGGCCTCACCTTGATGACCTCAGAAGAAATTTATCAGCCAAGAAATTATTTATTTTTTTTATTTAACATAAGTTGATTTCCTTCTCCCTTGCACCCAAGTTTAGAAACACTAAAAGAGCCCAGCTGTATTATTAAAACTCTACCTAAAAGTATCTGTTCCTTTATTAAAAAAATAAAAAATTCTCTTGAATGAAAATTACTTAGCACTGGCCAATATTAAAATATGAAAATAAAGAATGAACCAACCCTCAACTGCTCTTTTTTCCTTACTTTCACTTCAATACAGCCTCTCCTAATACATACAAAAAGCTTAAATACATTACAGAAGGGCTATTGACTCAGGAGGACTCGTTTATAAAATAAAGACTTGCTGGAGGAGCTCCACTAATTGGCAATTAAGTCAGGTCATTATCCAGGTAGAGAGAGGATACCTGCAGATATTTGGGTTTTCTTGTGGAGGACCTTTCAGCTGCCTGTGAAAAGGAGTGTCTGGGGGAAGTAGAAAAGCAGTAGCTTCGTTTAAGGCTTTTATAGAACTGAAATATCATTCCTGGAAAAAAAACTTGCATAGGGTATTTCCAGCTGGTGTTAAATTCTTTAGGGACTCCCAGGTTTTTACATTACTTTAGGTTTTTACATAAAGGTTTTGGGAGATAAAACAGAAAAAAACAGGTGTCCTGACTTTTGAAACCTTAGCTCTTTCCTGACTAATTTTATTAAAAATTTAATAATATTTTTTTTCCCTTTTCTGTTGGTTATAATGTTCTAGTGTAGCTGCTGTAGTAGAGAAATCACCACATCCTAATTTAGAAATGATCTCTCTAAGCTGTGAAGGCAAAACCTGCTGCACCTTATCTCATCTCTTCTTGGTAAGGTGAAAGAAAAGGTGCAAAATAAATTTCCCTTATGAGCATAAGTGAAAATACTGAACTTCAAGTAGTTTTAAATCAAAAATTTGTTTTTTTTCATCCACCTGACCCACTGCAGGTCCCTCCATCAACCCCTTTGGTACCTGTGTTCCTTCCTTGAACACCTTGAGCACCTCTCAGGTGGCAGCAAAGGGAAATCAGACAGATGCATTTTGATAACCTGAATTTTAAAAATGCTTTGGAGCATTTCCTTCTCCAGGGCTAAGGAAAGCTGTTCAGGTAGTCCTGGTTTGCTTCTTGGAAACAGAAATGGCCCTGGACTACACAGCTAAACTTCTCTTCAAGAAACACCTCCCAGTGGTTTGAGACTCTGATGTGAATTTGCATTTGCATTGCACAGTCTAAATTCTGAGAAAATCCCCTTAAGCATCAGACTGGGGAAAAAAAGTGAGCAGAATTTTGAGAAATGTAGATTTTTAATTTTCATTTTTTTTCCTTCGAGGCTCAGTTGAGCAGCACTAAACACACTGGTGGTTATAATTAAAGTGTTCATCATCCTAAAATTTAAATGAAAAATTCAGATTCCACCCTGACTGAAAAAGATAAACGTATCAGAAGATCTGTAAGTAATTTTGTTGGTAACCTGTGTGAGATGAAATCTTGGTTTTCCTCAACACAAGTGAGAGTTAGGGAAAAGGAAAAGCAGGTTTCCTTCTTACTGGCTCCAGGTGATGAACTTGGGATTGTACTGACCCTTAAATGAGATCAAATATTGATGTGTGTTGGAGGAGCCTGAGCCTGTACAATGCAAAACACAGGATCTGAAAATATTCTCTTATCAAATTTATGTGGGTATTGGAGGAAAAAATACGAATTTGCTGATTTGGTGCTCGGGTGTGTAGAGGGAAATTCAGCTTCAGGCTCCTGGGCACTGCTGAGCTGAGTCCCCAGAGTTAAAGACAAGTGGGTCAGTAATGGGACTGCAAAATCCTGTTTTGTGTGGAGGTCAGCCCCTGTTCCCAAGCCCTTCAGGAGTGTGTGTTCATTCTTCCACGAGCTGGGAGGAGCTGACCCATCTTCTGCTTAAACAAACATTTATATTCCAGGCTGTGTTATTTTGCTCCTCTTCCTGTTGCTCATATTGGCTTGAAACATTTTTAGGAATTGAATGCAGAGGTTGGAGTAAGGTTATCTCTTACCAAGGCTTTAAGTGGTCACTAATTCATCTGAGCACACAGAATGGTGTGTGACCCTTGGATTATCGCCTTGTTGAACTGCAAGAAGCACCTCTTTCATTTCCAAAACACTTTGAATCCTTCAGGCAAACCTGGGATCAATCAATAATCCCATTATTGATGGGATTGCAAGCAAAACTGGCCACCTTTGCTCTGGGATCTTCCTAATTGTTGCCTCTCCATGGTGGGGAGAGCCCTTCTTTGTTTGCCTGTCAGCACATCTCTCAAAAGAAAATTCAGCTGGCCACTTGTTCTTAGAAGAATTGGGATAGAGTGTGGGCAATCCGATGGTTTGGAGAAAGAGTCTGTCACCATTTGGGATTACACAGCAATCCATTTGCTAGACAATTTCCCTAGACCTGAGATTCATTAAGAGATCACATCCAATTTCTCTTCATCTGCTGCTCAGCCACAGGAGAAACAGGCTGGATTTATACAAGCAATCTTTCCTTTATGTATAAAATACTTGCCCTAAAAAAACTTGACAAATTCCTGCAAATCCTGAGCTGAGGGTGTGTGTGTATTTCTCTTTCTGTGCTCGTTTTGATGCCTCCCTCTCCTTCTGCATCTGGTGACTTCTAACTCAAGCACCCATCCCTCAGCACTGCCCATCCAGCTGTGGGCTGCCCCAAACATCTGCCTGACCTTGCTGCCCTGTACAGGCTGCTGTGACACCAGCACTGTCGGGGGCAAAGGGGATTTTTGGATCCTCCATCTCTTCACGTTCTCTCTGGGCTTCTGCTCAAAGAACTTTTAAAATATCTCACGTACCTGGCAGGTCTTTGTTGTGCAGCTTTGAGCAAAGATTACCCCAGAGGCCCCTGAGAAGTCCTCGTCTGCCTTTTTGCCTGGTGCTCCTGGAGAACACCATGTGTTCTGTGTGGAGAATAATGCTCTGACCCTCTTTGCCCTGACCAAAACATCGCGGGCAGCGTGCCAAACGCACATTCCCATGGTGCACATGTTTATTTAAATCCTCCTCAGCCTCGCAGATCCTGGTGAAATTTATCACACTGCAGGTCATGGCCACAATTTCTTCAAGAGGGGGAAATGTGAGGTTACTGCTGAGGCTTCTGGGAAGTCCTCAGAGTTTTACTGAAAGGGTGATCACTGAGCAGCTGCTGACACAACAGCTGTCTGCTCTAACACCAAGGGATGTTTTCAGGCATAACAAACTTGTCTGCACTGTCTGAAAGGCCTTCTAGAATTTTCCCCCCACACCACCACAGTTGTTGGTGAATAATGCACAGGGAGGGTTTCCAGTGCTCACCAGTGTGAGAAAACTGTTGAGGATGCTCTTCTTTTCCCTTGTCTGTGAAGGTCATAGAAGCACAGAATGTTTTGGATTGGAAGAGACCTTAAAGACTCTTTTGTTCCAACCCCCAGCCATGGGCAGGGACAACTTCCACTATCCCAGGGTGCTCCAAGCCCCATCCAACCTGGCCTTGGACACTTCCAGGGATCCAGGGGCAGCCACAGCTTCTCTGGGCACCCTGTGCCAGGGTCTCACCATTCTCACAGGGAACAATTTCCTCCTAAGATGCAGCAGTGCTCTATTCCAACCTTTTTAAGAATGTCACCATCTGGATTTACACCATAAAACAGCAGGAGATCTCTCAGTGCTTCAATATTGATGCGTTTTTGCACCCATTTTGCAGTGCTTCCAAGAGAGGATGAAGAACTCTCAGGAGGCTCAGGATGATCCAGCACAAGTTTTGACTCCTGGAACTTCAGTCCTAATGTTGGGCTGTTCCAGGATTCCAGAACTCACAATTATGAGTCTGCAGTTAAATTACTGACAAATAAGTAAAGATAAAGTGAGGGTCCTAGGGTCAGAATATTAATTAAAAGAATTCCACATTTTTATCCCTTAATATTCTGCCACTAAAACTGAGAATTTTAAAAATATTGCTTTTTTTTAATAAAAAAGGCTGGCAACAACATCATCCCCTGTGTCCCAAATCTTCATTCATATGAATTTTGAGATTCTTTTTTTTTTTCCCTAACCACAATTATTGATTAATTGTTTAATTGATTAATAATTGATTTAATTATTGATTATGAGTGATTATTTTCCTTGCACCTTCTGGTGGCTGCAGGTCGCCAGTGGAGAGCACCAGGCTGACAAAAGCTGGTGTTGCTCGGTCACTGCTGTCCTTCCTGTGGCCATAAACACTCCAGGGATCAGAGCTAGGGTCAAGGGGAGAAAGAGATTCAAGACTACATCCACAGGACTAAATTCCATATTAAACTAAATTTCATAGACTCTATCTCCTTTAGAAATATATTTGGGAAGCCTGTAAATCACAATAAAGGACCTAAAATATAATCAAGGTGTACTTTCTTTCTCCAGTTTTATGAAAACTGAGAATGGAAGTTTCATCAGCTTCAGAGTTTGGTTGTACAGCCTTCACTCAGTGCATTTTTCCAGTGAGAAATATTTTTTTGTTTTGCTTTTAGGGAAAAATACAATTGATTTGCCATTTTAAACACTGCAGGTACACACTAAGTGGAATTTGTTGGGTGTGAATCTCAGCTGTTAATTGTTGTACCAGAACTTTAAAAAACAAGTAAATTTACACTTTCTATCTAAGGTTTAGGTGAAATATTTTTTACTTCATGGAAGTGACAATCTGCAATGACTCTGTACGTCAGGCAGCACTTAAACTTTCTCTGTGATCAGCTGCAAGCACTGATATTTGAATATTGTGCTAGAGCTAGGGAAAAACTATGAGGGTTAAAAGTCAGCTTTGCCTTTGCAAGACAGAGGTCAGCAGGGCTTAATTTGCCATCCAGAGGGGTTCTGTGGCCCAGGCTGGGCCCTGCTGCAGTCAAGGTGGGTGTCTGAGCTGGTTCTGTTCTCAGCAGATGCTGCCAGGGCTGCTGATGGCTGCCAGGGACTCTGCAGATCTCCATCCATGCCCACACCAGAGCAGCATCACTCTGGCCTTGGGCTCTCCTCACAGCTCTCAATTCTGTTGGTACAAAACTGAGGAGTGGCCGAGACCTCAGGGGGTTGTGTGGCCCTTCAGAGGGACCTCAATAGGTCAGAGGGGCAGAAAGGAACCTCCTGAAATTAAGTTCTCCAGGCTGAGCCCTTTTCCAGCTCCCTCAGCTGCTCCTGGTGCTCCACACCCTTCCCCAGCTCCATTCCCTTCTCTGGACACACCCCAGCTCCTCAATCTCCTCCTCTTCTTGTTGTGAGAGGCCCAAAACCAAACATGTTAAAATCTCTGGCTTCCCTTGCAAAGAAAGGTTACACACCTGCCTTTATTGTTCCCACTTTTGGTCTATTCCTGGGTTCCTGGTAGAATTTCTACCAGGCAGAGCAGATGTCAATGTTTATTTCACTCCCAGCAGACAAATTCTTCATTTGCTCCGGTATGAATATCTCAGGAATAAATAAGTTAATTGCCCACATTAAGGGAACAGGCAAAGTTGAGACTTAAAAAAATATGGAACTTCTGTGTTACTGCAATAAAAGTGCAGTGAGCTGTGAAATTCCTTTCACATATGTGGGGGTTTTTCTACTGTTCAGTTCTCAGCTTCATTTCGCCACAATAAAACGTTCAGAATTTTCCTTCCCTAAGAAGAGAGGGGCATTGTCAGAAGAGAAAACCTGGTGAGGAGGCCACAAAGTTGATGAGAGGGTTGGGGCACCTCTCCTGTGAGGAAAGGCTGAGAGAGCTGGGATTGTTCAGCCTGGAGAAGAGAAGGTTCTGAGGTGACTTAATTGTGACTTAATTGTGGCCTTCCAGTGCCTGAAGGGATCCTGCAAGAAAGATGGAGCAGGACATTTTACAAGGGTCTGGAATGACAGAAGGGGATAGAGCTTCCCACTGCCAGAGGGCAGGGATGGATGGGATATTGGGCAGGAATTGTTCCCTGTGAGGGTGGGCAGGCCCTGGCACAGGGTGCCCAGAGAAGCTGTGGCTGCCCCTGGATCCCTGGAAGTGTCCAAGGCCAGGTTGGACAGGGCTTGGAGCAACCTGGAACAGTGGAAGTTGTCCCTGCCCATGGCAGCGGTGATATTAAAGATCTTTAAAGTTCCTCCCAAGCTAAACCATTCCATGATGTTCCTGGTGAGGATTTTTGCATCACCCTCTAAGTGTGAATTCCACAAAAACTCTCATGGAGCAAAAGATGTCTCTGATCTATTAATGAGCTTCTCTGTCCAGGGAAGGAGGGAGACGCTGGTGAGATAAATCTGGTGAGTGGTGGGACACAGAGATTCCCCTGGGCAGGGCTGATGAGAAAAGAGGTTGTCCTTTCCTCTGAACACCCCACAACAACTTTCATCCACTCCCAACATTTTCCATTCCAACCCCAAAGCCTCCTTGTCCCTGCATCCCCTAATAAGTTCCATGCCCAACAACACCTGCTATCTTCTACAGCACAGTGGAGAAAGGGCTTTTTTGGCTGACTAGCTGTGCTGGATTTCACAAGCTCAGTGGTCTAATCCCTCTCCTTATCCCAGTCACTAAAATCTGCTCTTCCCCAGCTCAGTGGGAGCCTCCACCTTGCATCCTTCCCCCATCCTTGCAGGGCCTTTTAGTTTGAGTCACCTCTGCTCAGTGCACAGAACAGTCTATGAGCAAATAGCTATTCATTAAACACTGCACTTGTTCCATCTGCAACTTGTAAACACTGTCAAAAACAATTTCCTAATGCACATTCAGAGGTGGGTGGAATAAAGATTTCCTGGGCAAATCTTAGTGTTGCTTATTATTGATTTTTATTATTTTTTTTCTATAGCCCCCATTGTACAGGAAAATTTTCTCTTTCTGCTCAAACACATTAGCAGGTCATGCAGGGCTCCTTGGTATGATTTTTTACCTTTTTTCATAAATGCCAGCAATCTTTCCTTATTTCAAAAGCTTTAGTTATCTCTCAGGGAAGGGAGGGCTGGTATTTCTTGGAGCAGGAAGGAACCTGAAAGCCTATTGACTGAGAAATATTCAAAGGTTTTATTTTTAAAAGCTGAATAATCAGATATATATGCCTGAATCCTAATAGAATTAGCTTGTAATTCAACACTAATTTTTCATTAGTTTCGGCAATATAGTTTATTTTTAAGGAAGAAAAAAAAAAAACAAAAAAAACCCAAAACATTCCTGTTGCATGCATGACTTTATCACTGAGCCAGCAGGGTTTTTCTCACCGTCTGTTTGTCAGGAAAAAAAAAGAAAACAACAAAAAAAATCCCACCAGCAAAACCTGACAAGTTTTTTTTTTCCCCAGTAGCCAAAAAATATGCACATTTATTAACAAACCACAGAATGAATAAAACTGTAAATATTTGACAAACCACTGTGTTCCATTAGACCAGCCAGAACACCTTCCAGATTCTCCTATTTTTGGACTTGTTTCCTCTGGTTTTGCTCAAATTGTTATAGTTATTTTCCCTTGTCCTCCAGTAAATGTGTACCCAGGGAGGCAATAAGTTCCCCAGCTCTCAGCAGTGCTGATGTATTTAACAGTTCTGAGCACAAAAGTGATTTAGACTTCACCTGTAAGGTCCTTTACACAAACAGTCATTTGTGAGACCTCCTGATAGGCAGAAACACGCCTAAATTATTTCTTTTTCACTGTTTATGCAGCTGAGCAAGTGGAGCTGGAGCATCCCCTCGCTGGCAGAGCCAAACTTTTGTTCCCAGTCGTGATAAATGGGGCACTTGACCTTTCAGGATAAATGTGCTTCACTCTGGACAGCCTCCCTTGGAGCAGGGCTTCTGGTTTCTTTTATTTCCAGCTGATTGAGGAAACATCAGCCCACAGAGAGCAGTTTTACTCTCTTCAGTGAAATTTAGTTGGCTGGCCTTGATGTCAGAGCAGTGACCATGGGATAAGCGAGGCTGGGAATCACTG